GTGTAAGGCATAAAGTGCTATTCTTCCTCTCCCTGAAAATGAAAATGGTCGCTTGGCACCAGGACCACACCCCCACACACACTCCGCCCAGGCATCCAGACCCGACTCCTGGTGGGCAAGAAGACCGGCGGCTAGGGGGCGCGGCGGGAGGCGCGTGGGGCTGTGGGCACCCCTGGGGCAGCCCCAGACTGCAGGTACCGAGGCTGAGAACCACTGGAGACCCACGAACCAAAGTCCACGACTCCGCAGGCCCGGAGGCTAAGGGGCAGCCCCGCCCACCGACGTACTTGCTGAGCCCGCGCAGGGGCGAGGGTCCCGCGGAGAAGTGGGTGGGGAAGAAGGGGGCTGAGGCTCGACTGGTGCGGATCCTCCCCACTCCTGGCCATCTTGGTCTTTGAGCTTCGGCCTCTGCCGCGGTGGTGGACTGGAGGACCGGTCGTCTACAGGGTTATGGAGGAAGGGAGGGTGCGAGTGAAGGGAGCTGGACCGGGTGCAAGGGGACCCAGAAATCGGTCCTGCCTCACCCGAGTCACAACCCTGGGCGCCCGAATTCCACTGTGCAGAGTCAGAAAAAGCCTTGGGGGCCTGGACCCAGAAGTCCTGCGCCAAGATCCGCGGACTCCAGCAGTTTCACGTGGGACCTAGACTTGACTGAGCCTGGGCGCTATACCCTGAGGCGGAAAGCTTGGGTGCCCAGTGTCCAAGCGAAGCAGAGTCGACGTCGTTTATCAGGTTTTTCGAGTTGCGTTGGGCCATACAGGTTTTTTATTTGTTTTTTTGTTTAAGTTGGAGCTCACTCTGTCGCCCAGGTTGGAGTGCAGTGGCACGCTGGGACCTGCTGGACTCAGACGATCCATCCGCCTCAGCCTTCCAAGTAGCTGGAACTACAGGCCCGCACCACCATGCCGGGCTAATGTTTTGATTTATCGTAGAAATGAGGTCTCGCCAAGTTGCCCAGGCTGGTCTCTAACCCGTGGGCTCAGGCAGTCCTCTCAACTTGGCCTCCCACAGTGCTGGGATCATAGGCGTGAGCCACCTCACCCATCCCGGGCCACAGAAGTTTAGGCGGGAGGCACGAGGTTCCAAAAAGCAGGGGGAAGTGTCTCCTTCCACGGTCTGGGTTGCACGTCTACGCTGCGTCCAACTCCAAAGCGGCAGCAAGTGACCTCCACCCCGAGATCCTGCCGCATAGGCGGGGACGCTTAGGGGCGCCCTATGGGAACGCAGCTCCTCTCCCCGGCCCGGACCTACCGGCGTCTCAAACTCCAGAATACGTGATCTCGCCTGCCAGCTTTCACCATCCCTAGCCGACCCAGGCGCGGCCCGCTGTAGGGTACCAAGGAGCGCTCCGCCCAGGTCCTAGGCCGCGCTGAGAGAGCATGCGACGCGCCGCGCTCGCGACCGCCCCAAGCCCATCGTTTTTTGGTGTCTCGAGACTGCGGCGCCGGGGAGTGGAGCTGCTTCCTGGCGCCTAGCACAGAGCCGGGCCGAGTAGGTTAAGCATTCGGGAAGTGGAGGAGGAACGTGTCTGCATGGCCTCAGTTCAGAAGCAGACTCGGAAAACCCCGATTTCCTATCCCACAGGAGGCCTTTGATGCGATCGCTTCCGCCCTGGCCCTCGGGCAGCGGGGATTCTGGGACCCCTTGCTGGGCCTGCTCCATCTGCAACTCCACCCTGGATTTTAGTTTCTCGTTTTAAAGTTGGAAATCAGTCTCTCCTGGAGTCCTGGAGGGAGGGGGTGAGGAGAAGGGACGAGGCGGAGGGCCTAAGGCCGTAGGGGTTGGGTAGGAAGGACAAGGAGGTCAGGCCTACCCGCTGACCTCTCCCCTGCTGGGAATAGAGGTTGCCTCCCACGGCGGTTAGACCACTGGCCCATGCCCCCTCCCGGGGCGCTGAGGACCAACCAGCTTGCCTTCATAGGCCAGATCGCCCCTCTGGCCTCCTTCCCCCAGGACAGTGGAGGCAGCACTGTGAAATGGCAGATTCAACTGGGTTTGAGTTTCTGACAAGGATTCAAGCCGAGGGTGAGGGTTTACACCGAGAAAGGCTGCAGCCCGCTCACTTCCTTCCCCACTCCCTCGCAGCCTTCAGCCAATCCTGGGCCTATTAAAAATGGAAAGTCAGCCAGTCGCAGTGGCTCACGCCTGTAGTTTCAGCACTTTGGGAGGCGGAGGCTAGAGGATTGCCTGAGCCCAGGGGTTCGAGACCATCCTGGGCAACTTGGCGAGACCTTGTCTCTACAGTAAAACAAAAAATTAGCCGGGCACTCCCTGTAGTTCCAGCTACTTGGAAGGCTGCGGCAGAAAGATCGCCCGAGCCCAGCAGGTTGAGGCTGCGGTGGCCGTGAGCGTCCTGGGCAATAGGGTGAGACTCCGACTCAAAAAAAGGAAAGTTTAAGTGGAAAGTTCCCTGGAACTGCAGCCTACACACTCCTACCTAGTCCTCAACCCCAGATGGCACCAGGCTCAGTGACTACAACCTCCAGGAAACCCCTCAGGAAGCCCCCTCGGGACACGTGCCTCTTGTGAAATCCACCCGTCTGTAAAATGGGACACAGGACCTCCCTCCTAGAGTTGCCAGAGACAAACGAGTTAATGAACGTAGAGCGCTTAGCCGCGCCTGGCACTAATGAGTGTTGAATCCGTGTTATAAATAACAACAATAACGGCTTTCACTTTTTGCAGACGCACGTGGCACGTGTTACCTTCACGCGCCCAACTAACCCGTCAAACAACCCTAACAGGAAGGTATCTCTCACCAACCATATCATAGATGAAGACACTGAGACCTAGAGAGTGGCACTCATTGCCCAGGGCGGTTCAGCTAGAAAAGGGCCGACTGAATTCGCACCCAGGGCACTCCGGGGCTGAGATTGGGGTTGAGCTGAGCGATCTCGTGGCCTGGAGAAGCGAATTCTCGGCCAGGCGACCAAAAATAGCAACCCGCAGAAGCCAGGACCCGAGTCAGCCCGCCCCCGGGCCAGAGATGAGGGAGAGCTGGAGGAGGTCAGGCCTCGGCGCTAGGGGGCGGCAGGGGGTCGCGCGGGGGCGGGGCAGGACCCCCACGTGCGCAGCCTGCAACCGCATCGAAAAGCCCTTTGTCGCGAGCAGCCGCGTTCGTGCCGCACTCGGCGGCTTAAAATAAAGACAATGTTCCCAGCCTCCCTGCGGCTAAATCGGGCGCGGGTGCGGGGGTGGTGAGCGAGCCGGGCGGGAGCGCTTCTCCCGGCCCTTCCTCCCTTCTCCCTTCCTACCTCAGTTTCCCCATCTGGTAAGGGGGACCCAGACGGGGAAGCGAGCGGAGGCGGGCTGTTGGGGGCGTCATCCTCCTGTCTCCGCGGCCGCACGGACTTAAGAAGGAAGCTGCGGGGGACAGAAGGGGGCACTCGGGAGGAGGCAGGGGAAAGCTGGACACCCTCCCCTCCCGCCCACAAAATAAGTGTTTTTATTTCTAAAGGGACGTGTGCAGAGGCGGTGGGAGAAGAGAAAAGGGAGACCAAAGGAGATTGGGGGGAGGGGGCAAAGAGGGAGCCTGATTCAGACTCGGAAATGGATGTTGATCGTGAAGGCCTGACACCCCCACACTCAGCCACGTGTACGCGCACCAGTACGCGCAGCCCCACCGCGCGCACAAGCCACAGCCACAAACCCTGGACAGCCCAGCAGGGGGCATTCCGAGTCCGCGCCCACCGGCGGGGACTGGTCAAGTTCTGACCCAACCCTGAACGGCCGGGTGACCCGAAGTGGGGGGGCGGTGCTCAGATTCCTCTCCAAGCTGCAGTGTCTGCCCATCCTCAGAAGGGAGACAGATTGGGTGACTGCTTGAGCCCCAGCTGGCTTTGAGAAGCAGAAATGCTCCCACTTGTAACTGCCACGTGTGCTCACCACTGGCACCTGGAGGCTGCTGGCCAAACCCCAGGGACTCTAGTTTCTGCTCCCTTGACTCCATTGGCCTCTGAACTCCTGGGTGAGGAAGACTCCAGCTATCTACCTGGTAGAAAAATGGGCAGGGGGAAAGGGTGGGGCAGGCGGCAACCCCTGGCAGAATCCAGAGCCCTGGGATTAAACCAAGGCATCTGAGTCCAAACACTTGCCCACCACATGTTAATTACACCTCTGCTCTTCAGTTTCCTCACCTCCATAATGGGGATAATTGATGGGTCTCATTCTTTCCCACCTCCCACCCCAGGGCTTCAGCACAGTCCAGTGGGGCAAAGAACACACCAGCCCCACCAGGCAGCCCCCTCCCACCTCCCCCCACCTAACTCTCCTCCATGGTCAGCTCCCCAGGAGGTCTCTAGGGCCAGCTGAAGGCGCTGCAGCACCCAGGTATCTATGGCAAAGGGCCCCCCAAGGGTTCTATCTCTGAGGCAACTCAACACAGAAATCCAAACCAGCCTGGCGGGGCAGGCAGGGTGCTGGCCAAGCAGTGAGGCTGAGGGAAGTGGGGTGGAAGGGCTCACCTCCCAGGTACACACCTGTGAGCCCTGAGTAGGAGTCAGAGGAGACAGAGTTTGACAAGCTGGGAGGAGAGCTGTCTGTCTGCCTGTCTGTCTGTCTTCCAAGTGGAAGCTGGGGGTGGAGCAGGCGGGGAGGTAGAGGCTGCCTCACTTGTCAGAATTAGCAAGTTCCACAGTTGGGCAACACTCAGACACACATTGAATACAGACACACATGCACACACATCCCGCCTCCAGACCGACAGGATCATACCTGCATTTACACAGGCTACACGGTGACATGAGTACACAGGGACACACACGCAGGACACTCAGGAGTGCATGGAGCAGGCACCTGGCCCCCCACTTATTCCTGCAATCCAGACATCCATATACTGTATACCCTCACACCAGGGCTATGCATAGCCCAGCGCTTGGAGCACGCAGCCCAACACGCGGGCACGTCCGCTCAGCCCCCCGGGCGGGTGCGCCAGCCCTCTGGGTCTGTTCCAAGTTGGAGCCTCTCACGTGAGGCCCAGTGTGTCATTTCCAAACAGAAGGAATCTAGCTGCCTCGCAGCAGGGAGGAAGAGCAGGGTGTGTGGCTGGGTGGGTGGGCGCGTGGGCATGTGCAGGGGGGAGGGCGTGTGTGCAAGGGAAGCAGGCATGTGAATGCCCGAGCATGTGTGTTGGGGCATGGTGCACACGGATTGGGGGCTCTAGGTTGAGTGGGGGAAGGAGTCCTGGGAAACAGAGTGTGCCTTTGTGAGGGTGTGTGTGTGCCGCCGGGTCTGTGTGCAGTGGGTGTGGGTGTTTGTCTCCCTGTATCCGCCTTCTCTCCCATCCTGGACTTTTAGCCTTCCTGGGCTCGCCTTCCTCATGTCCTGCCTCTTTCCTCTCCGGGCTCGAATTGGGTGCCCTGGTGGAGGAGGGGGACATGCTCCAGGACCTAGTCCAACCCCAGACGCTGCCTGAGGCTTCCCTCCAGCTCCCCCTCCCTTCCTTCTCTCCCTTTCCTCCCTCCCTCTCTTTCCCTTTCTCCCTCCCCCCCCAGGCTGGCGTGCCAGGGGGTGGGACATGCCAATCACTGGCTGTGCCTCTCCCGCTGCCAGCACAGGGCGCAGCTCCCCCCCGGGAGCCAGGTGTTTGGGTCCCCGGAGACGCCGCCGGCCCCTGGGGAGGCAGTGGGGCTGAGGACCCCACAGACCCCTCTCCAGCCCTATGGTGAGTACATTTGGGGGAGCTTGGGAGGGGCGGCACTGAGGTGGGGTAGGAGGAGCAGGGTCCTGGGGGGTGGGCAGGGACCAGGAGGAGCCGGAAATGGGGATGGACCCCGGAGTGAGGGGGAGGCCATGGACGGGTCTAGAGGGCAAGGGGGCTCGGTAGCATTGGACACTGGGTGCTCCAAACACCCTATCTCCTGGCTTTGAGTGGATACATCTGATGTTTTTCTGGGCTTCCGCTGGCAGAAGAGATGGAGACCCCCCTCAGGAAACTGGACCTGAGGCCCAGAGGGATTAGGCTGCCTTGTAGCAAGCAGAGTCCCCAGCACCCTAGGGGCAGAGTGGGAAGGGCAAAGGGCCAAGAGGCAGCCCTTGCCACCAGCATCCTGTGGGAGGTTACCCCCCCATTAATTGGTGCACCAGTCCTAGAATCTCCTCCTCTCCTCCCTCAGGGCACCCTGAATCCCACCACCCCCATCCCCACCCCCAAGATGGACTGAATCAGGCTGCTGACCAGACGGACAAGCTGGATATCAAGGTGGGTGTTGGGCCAGAAAACACCAAGAGACCAGGCAAAACGCCCCAGGGCTCTTTGGGGACAAATGGCCACATGAATGACCATGCTAGCCAGGGAACATGGCCCTGACATGTGCAGGGGCCCAGAGGGTCCTCCCTATGTCCCTAGTATCTTGGAATCCCACAGAACAGGTCCTAGTCCCTGTCCAGGCAAAGCATGGACACTAACAAATACCCATACCAGTTGCCCACCCCAGTACCCCCAGACTACACAATGTGGAGAGGGGCTGGGGGCCAGGAGCTCTGATTCTTGCAGAGTTGCCAGCTCCTGGGCCAGCAGCTGGTGAGGGGGTAGTTGGTGCTCATTAAGTCATTCAGACATGTGCAGTTTATCAGGCTATCAGAGGTTATCAGGGCCAGTGAAGAGGGGTTCGCCTCTTCCCAAAAAACACACCTGCAGCTCCACTCAGACTGACCCAGCATGCCCTGGCCATTGGCCGGAAGGAGTCAGGCAGCCTCCAGCAGCCCGACAGTCTCCCGAGCAATCAGCTGTTCACTGAGCTGTCAGAGGAGAGTTCTCTGCCCCCTGACCTCAGCTACAGAGAAAGCTACAATTGCTGCTGAGATGTGAAAGGGAAGATGGAGTGAAATGGGCAGCAGAGGATGTGACTCTGGGCTCCGAGCTGGCAGCTGGAGGTCTGGGAACTGGACCCAAAGTGCAGCGGGGAGTCCAAAGTATGGAGAAGGGGCAAGACAGAAGATCACATCAGACCTAGAAAGAGGCTTCCCACTGTACAGGTGGAGGGACTGAGGCTGAAAAAAGGGAAAAAGGTGCTCATGGTCAGAGAAGGGATGCTTAGGGGTCTGGGTGGGACTTGGAGCTTCTCCTCACCCTCAACCCAGTGCTGTTCTGCCGCCTCCGTGAGCAGGAAGGTGGGGTGGGGGAGCAGGGGTGCAGCAAGCTCTGTGAGGCAGGAGCTTGGCTCCCAGCGGGCGGGGAGAGGTGGGTGAATTGAGCTGGGTTTCTGCTCTGCTGTGGTGCCATGGTGATGCCTACAAGGATGGGGGAGGAAGGCAGAGAGAAGAAAGGAAATGGGGAGGGGAGTGTGAGGAGTAACTAGCAGGGGGCAAGCAGAGAGGAAGATGAGGGGCCCAGAACCTCTAATGCCACACTAGCAGAGTGGGGTCTAGGCCCAGCCTGCTCATGGCCAGGCTCTGGCATGGTCTGGCTAGTCAGACACCTGGTTAAGGTCCACCATGGGTGACTAAATTTGGTCACGGTTCTAGGGCTGACGCTCCTCTTTCGGCTAAGCAGTGTAAGGATGCAGCATTTAACTGATGGCCACTACCCTTCACAGGGCTAGTGGCCATTAAGCCTGAAAAGGTAATGAATTCTAATTGTTTACTCCCTCATTCCCAAGACCAGACATCAGGGGTGGAAGTTTAACGGCCAAGAGCTACCTTTGGAGAAAAGTTAGCTAGGAAAGGGAGCCTCTTTGCACCCACACATGGGTGGGTTAAGGCCCCAGCAGAAGGGACCAGTCAGCAGACATGGCCAGAAGGAGCACCCTCCTCACTGCACATGTGAGGCCTCAGGTGCCCAGGCCACAGCCCCCTCGGTGTACCTCCTTCTCCTCAATATTGTCCTGTCTCCCTAGACAGGGTCCTGCTGGCTTCCAGGCCCAGAATCAAAGATGGCTCCACTCTCCCTACTCAATCCCTTCCCCAGCATCTCCTCATTCTCTGCCTCCCCTCCTACACTCCTTAGCCAGTGGTAAGGTTCAGGACAGGCTGGTGTTCAGGAATCTCTCTTTCTCTACCTCTCCTTCCCTCCCCCAATGGCTCTCTCCCCTCCCCCTTCCTCTCACCAGCCACATCCCCAGCCCCTGGGGATTGGTCCAGGGCGCTGGCAGTCAATAGTCTGGCCTGCTGCCCTAGAGGCTCTGACCTCATCTCTTAACTCTTTGAGCCCAGGCTGACATTTTCCTCCCCTCACAACAACAAGTGCCATCACACACCCATATCTGTCCTATCACCTGAGTTAGCTTCCCTGAAGCTGGGAGAAGCAGGGTTGCCCTGGTTCATTTTACAGAGGATATTCCTGGCTGTTTTTGCCTGTGCTCTCCAGTCAGGCAGGGATCCCTCAGGGGTGCAGGGGCCTGGTAGATGAGCGGATGTGAGAGCGAAAAAAAGCAAAGGGACCTCTGGACCATGCTCTGGAGCCAGACCTGACTCCCCACAGGCATATCCTCATGCTCCAGGTCCTGAAATCAAGTATACCTTTACACATTTATTCCATAGATATTTATTGAGCAACTACTATGTGCCAAGCCCTGGGATAAAGCAGTGAATGAGGCAGACACAGCTCCTACCCTGCCTCTCAAAGACCTCTGGCTAGATTCACCCACTTCCCACAGCGTTGTCAACATACATCACACAGATAGACAGCAGACACTTTCACATACACTCAGGCCAGGTTCTTAAAGAAGGATTGGATTTCTCACTGTTTACTGATTGAAATGAGGACTTGGCCAGGCTAGTTGAGGTGGGCCACTGCACTCCAGCCTGGATGACAGTGAGACTCCGACTCAAAAAAATATTTATTTATTATTATTATATATATGTGTATATATATATATATATATATATAAAATGAAAGGCTTCCCCAGTCTCCATCAGGCCACAGTCCTGGGCAGAAACGCTCTTCCTGCTTCCTTGTTACCTTCCCACACCCCAGACATGACACCCTCTGGGGATGAGTCTCCACATCCCCACAAAGCTATGGATTCATCTCCCCCATTCCTAACCTCATTCAGCAGTGCACGCACCGCCCGCCCCCCCCGCCACAAACCCTCGGCCTAGAAGTTCACTCCATCCCCCAAAAAGATTCCCAGGCCAGGACAGTGACTTGCCCAAGGTTACATAGCAAGACACCCCTAATTCCCATAGATGTCTTCACAGAATGTACTCTGCAAATGCAGCTTCAAGGCCCCCTTTCAAGCAGTCCCTCCTTTCTAGAATTTCTGTAGCCACTGCTGAACCCTGGCACCCTAACTCTCAGGCTAGGCCCAGTCTCCCCAGTAGAATCTGCCACAGTCACAGGAAACGAGGTTCTCTCACAACCTCCATCTCACTGATCCCACAGTAGCCTTGAACAGGTAGGGGGTTTTCCTCAGTCAAGAATAAAGAGACAGCCAGCATGGTGACTCATGCCTTGTAATTCCAGCACTTTGGGAGGCCGAGGCAGGAGGATTGCTTTTGCCTAGGAGTTTGAGACCAGCCTGGGCAACATAGTGAGATCTCGTCTCTACAAAAAAAAAAAAAAAAAAAAAAACAATAAATTAGCTGGGCATCATGGCAAGTCTGTAGTCCCAACTACTCAGGAGTCTGAGGCAGAAAGATTGCCCAAGCCCAGGAGGTCAAGGCTGCAGTGAACCATAATTTGACACTGCACGCCAGCCTGGGCAACAGAGTGAGACCCCGACTCGAGAACAAAAAAAAAGAAGAAAGATACCTGGACAAGGTCACATAGCAAGGACTAGAGTACGTCTCCAGAAACCTTCTCCTGAGCTCTTTCACTGTCCGAGAGGGTTATAGATGAGGACCATGCTTCTGATTGTGGAGAAAAGGCAGAGTCACTGACAGGCCTGTTCTTGGGCTGCATCCCAGGAGGTAGAAGGCCCAGGGGGTGACAAGAATCAGGCCAATTCCTCAGAAGCTCTATGCTTTCTCCATCACCCCAGCTGTCCCAGATGGGCATCCTTAGCCCTCAAGGTAACATGGGTGGGGCGAGAGGGGTTGGCCAAGTGGAAAGAACACAGGCTGGGAGCCCACAAGTCAGTTTCAGAATCCCAACTCCACCATTTCTTTGGGAGCATCAGAAAGTCCCTCAGCTTCCTGAGCCTTAGTGTCTCCCTCTATGATATAAAGATAGGCTGGCACGATGGCTCACACGTATAATGCCAGCACTTTGGAAAGCTGAGGCCAGAGGGCTGCTTGAGCCCAGGAATTCAAAACCAGCTTGGGCATCATAACGAGACCTTGTCTCCACAGAAAAATTTTTAAAATAAGCTGGACGTGGAGGTGCATGCCTGTAGTCCCAGGTACTCAAAGGATGAGGCAGAAGGATCACCTGAACCCCGGAGGCCAAGTTGCAGTGAGCCGTGATTGTGCTACTGTACTCCAGTCTGGGTGACAGAGTAAGACCCCCAACTAAATAAAATAAAATAAAACAGGAGAGTTGGAATAAAATTTCCAGATGTCAATGCAAGGGACAGCCAGCTTCCTCACCTCTCAGGATTAACTTCTCACAGACTCCCCTGTTCTGAAGGCATTTTTTAATTCTCAAAGTTATAGTTAGCCTTGTGATGGGCAGAGGTCACTGTGTTCCCACCCTGCGTTGATGTCATTCCAGCCCCCACTGAGAGAACCTAAGTAAGCCTTCAGCTTTGCCTCAGGGACTTGGGTTCTTTCTGTTCAGCATCT